CTGTTGTAACTGTAATGCGTTCAGGAGTGAAGCGATATTCCATGGCTGGATAAGCCTGCACAATGTTTCCTCTCTTTCCCATTCCTCCGATGTAGAATATGTTGGAATGCTGGAATTTCAAAGGAAGGGAACTCCTAGGTTTAAGGAGAAACACGTGACTTCTGTCCTGGAATGTGCGGCCGACCTGCGCGGTGTTCAAAGCGAGTTGTAGATCGGTTTTACCATCAACTGCTTTGGTTTTAGGGTTGTTCGTGACGCTGTGGAGGCAAAAAAAATTGGGATAGCCTTGAGACTTTTTATGCAAAAAGAAGGCGGCTAGTCAATTATATGCATCGTGATCACAAGTTACTTTTGTTGTGAGTACTTCCAGCAAAAGTCAGATCGCTGAGATACAGACTTCAGTTCCATCTCGATGATCGTAACGATCATTGCGATCATATGGAAACCACTCTCCAGAGACTGCAACAAGGAGGAGATGGAGAATGTTGCCATGATTATTATACCAGAGGTCCTCTTTCGCATTCTTATTCTATAGCGATTATAGCATCATCGTACAAGTAACATTTTCTCTTGATGGTAACTAGCAGTCGTAAGGATCGCTAAACTTTCTTGTTAGTGGTTGCAACGATCGTAGTGATCATAAACATCTCGCATACTGCTTGGACCAGTATTACTGATATGTAAAAAATCGCGGAAAGAAATTATGCCATGTTCATGTATTAGACTTATTAGACACAAGCTACTGTATATGATGATGTACATTACTGTGAACTAGCATCTTGAAGGGGGAAAACCTGAGATAAAGCTAAGATTTATGGAGAATATTTCTGACAGGGATTTTTCACTCGTTTCTCATACTAGTGAAATGTCATGAATGAGACTATATATATTTTGTCATTGACAATTACTTTTTATTGTTACTGGCATCAAACTCGCGTGGTACATCATCAGTGGTGATATTGTATCTGCAAGAAAAAAGAAGGAGATATGCAGAAATATATTCATCACAGTTGACCAATAATTTAGGCCAATATATACTGGTTGACTACCAACCCATGGTGCTTTGTTATTGTTTCGTAAAAAATAATTACCAAAACTAAGGTCCTCTTCTCGTGCTCATCACCCCACAACACGTTCATCGCGAATAGCATTCTGGTCATGCACAGTTTTGACTGTGAAAGGTTCAATTTAGTCGAGGGTCATAAAGCCAGGGGAGTCTCCGGCACGGTTCACGAACAGAAAAAATAAAGGATCACGGATATAAAAATTTCGTTTCCCCGAATCACGAAAATAAGCAGGTGAGATACTCTTTTTAATGACCTGTTCTTACACTAGAAACAGTGTTTGAAGAAAGCAAAATCGCGAATGGTCAAGTCAAGTCAAGTCACTCTCGATAGACGACTCTAACCATTCGGAGGACTCGGGTCTCAAAATCACGTAGAGTAGAGTGGAAAATCACGAATATTGGTCAATAATTCAGGTTCTTCACGGGTCACGCAAAGCCTTCTGGTCACGAGTCACGAAGAATAATTTCCTAAATTCACGTTTCACGGAAAATAAAATCAGCTAATGACGCATCACGAAAATATCCCTATACGACCCTCTCAGTCAGCGTGATAAAGGCAAAACTGTTTTGGACCAGAAGAAACCTGGCGCGAGTGACATCTCGCACTCGTTTATGAGATCGTTACTGCATGGTGATAACATTGCTTCTCATCTTCTGCACAGTGACGGTCCAACAGGCAACTGCAAGATGAGACTCTCCTCAGGTCTCTTTTAGTTTCATAAGTGGAGAGCTGTTTTTGACTTGTTCAGTTCCCTCCAGCTACTTCAATTGTTAACCGACTGTGTACGTTACTTGGTGTTTATCTGAATATAATTACTCTTAACTATAGTAATTGGTAAGCATGCAAACAGTTTATGCAACAAATACATGCATTATCTTGAAGTGGTACCAAATTCTCAAAATTGAATGAAAGGAATTGCGAGGAGGTGAGTGAGGAGAATTCATATCTTGATAATTTACTTATCAAGCATTAAAGGTGATGTTATGTCGTTACTTGTCTCACCTTATCCGTAACAAGCAACGCTGAGTAGTGTTGGTTGGGAAACAAGGGACTTTCCACTTGTACGACGAAAACTT